AGACTAGGCAATGATCGAACAGAGACATTGGAACTGTAACCACTGTCAACTCGGGACGCGGATCGCTGAGTTTTCTCAGACGAAGGGCTTGGGATGAAGCCACTGTCCGATCTCGACAATGCTTTAAGCATTTTGTTTTCAAGTCCAAGTTGCATTTTCTTGGGGTCGGGGTTTACATTTGGATCTTCCCTTAAGTCCAAAACCTCAGCAACCGGAAATGAAACAGCATTCCCGGCCCCAGACATTCCACCATCGCCTGTTCTAGATTTGTCTGCATCGCTCGAATGCTCAGTAACAGGAATTGTGATGCGAGTAGTAGCGGATTTATCGCCCGCCTTAGGCTCATTCGCATCTGTCACGGTCGAGCGCTGGTTCATCAAACTGAGTGGATTGTTGGCGTGCTCATCAATGTATTCCACAAGAGGGACTGCTAGTGCCGACTCTGAAGCCCCTTTTTGTTTGACGTCATCCTCGGGCACCGGAGAAGCTCTGGGAGCCCCGTTTGTGATGCGTAGGGATCCAAACTTCATACCACCTAGCTGTTTGTAGTCAGCTTCGACTGGCGTTACGGCTCGGTCCGGAAATTGCGCCTGAGATGGGATTGTCGTAGGCATCGACATGCGTCTCGCCATGCCAGATTCTATCGAGTTGTGCCTGGACTGACAGGGTGTAGCAGGGAGACTCTTGCGAAAACTCGACTTGGCTGAGACTGGGGGGTTGGAATGATGAGCTCTGGTTGCTATGCCTGGGGTTTGAACGACCGAGCGGCGGCGCATTGGCATGTAAAGAGAAACGTCTGAATTTGTTCTGCTAATGGACGAACCTGCAGATTGATTGGTGTTGCTGGTGTCATCGGTCACATCCTGACCTGTCTCATCAGAATCAACCTTGGATCTGGAGATTATGGACTCGCTTGGGAGCTTCTCCTTGGCATTGAGAAGCTTTTTAGCCCCCGCAGCTCTCGTATCGTAGCTTGTAGAGCCACTCCGTCCTGTAGCAGCCATGCTTTTTTTTGAGGCAGTTAGCTCTATTTATCGATACGAACGGACATGTTGCACAAACCTATCAGCGCGCGCCAGTGTACGGTAGCCGCTATCCTGAGCAATTGAGCTGACCCTGGAGCTATTGACGAAACCTGGCAGTATGGGAGACTGTTCTGATTGAATAGATCGCGTACGTGATCTTGAATCGCGCCTGGGGTCTCTACACGTAGGAGATTGTATAGGACTGGGCGCGTCACTAGCTGGGACGGCTATACCGAGCCCAGGCGCCACCCTTCTCGTTGAAGAAGCCTTATTGGGAGCAGGCGGCAGCGATCCGACGAGATACGAGTTGGAGAAGTGCTCACGATGGGGTGTCACAGCAGTAGCATTGTATGGCAGACCAGCTGCAGATGCCTGGCTGCAGTGAGGTGGCTTGGATAGTTTCCGATGCCCGCGAGGGGTTTCGGTGGATTGTTCATTGCCCATTGGGCCAAGCTTGTTCAACTCCTGGCTCGTGAGATGCTATCGGAAGGGGGGGAGGTGGGATGCTCGGAAAAGACCTCGTGAGGCTCCCTCGACAAGCAGAAACGACCGTTTACTGGCACATAAACGCCTCCATGCCGTCAAACATGAACTATCCCGTCTTTCTATTCAACCGTGAGGCAGGATGAAATTGAAGCTGAAGCTTCGCGGTGTGTAGGATGGAGGAGTATGTATTCGGAAAGTTGGTTGATTGTTTAGTCTATATGCTATTCGAAGAAAGAGGAATGAGATTGGGAAAGAGACTTGAGAATATGAGAGACGAAGAGAATAAAAGAGAGAGGGGGAGGTTGGACGAGGTGGAGTCGACTTTAAAGATCCATGACATTTTTGGCGGAGTTGATTGAAAGTCGGCGTCGAGGGGAACTCCCGAACAAGGACAAGGAGAACCTGGTTGTTAAGGTGAGGTATGAGATCCATGTGAGGGGTGAGACCAGAACCAAACCGGACTGAACAGGGAACGGACGAAGCGAGAGAAGAGGCTCGCATCGACCAGCAAAGCACAGCACAGCACAGCACAGGAAAGCAGCAGAAGCCAAGCAAGAATGAAGCAGCCACGGCCTTGGAGGGACAGAGCGGAGAGTAGCGCTGATGTGATGTGATGGATACTGTAAGTCACTGAGAGAAGACATCCAAAGAAGAGGAGTTGCGCGTCCGGAATAGACGAACTCTGAGTTTCCCATGCTTGAGAGGAGCTAATGATCCATGATATGACGGGAAGAGAGTGGAGACTGGAGGTTAGTAGGTTTAGCAGACCACTTAGGGACGCCCAAAGAACACCAAGGAAACAACTAAGTCAAGAGCTAAGGCAGGGTAGATACCTTAGGTAACACTAGCCAAGGCACCTCCATCGATACTTCCGATCCTAACACGATTGGACTGGATTGCACGTTTCGGTAACCGCCCCACAACCAATCAACAGGCCAGGAGGGTAATCGACTTCGGAAAAATGCCTTCGATTCAGAGGCGCCAAGGTTTCAATGCATCTCTAGAGCCTGGCGATAACAGCAAGGCATCTCATAGTTTATGCGTTGGAGGCTGACTTTAGCAAGTCTTATTCAGCAACCATCTGAGGTCATCTATGATTGAGTTTTCCACATGCGCTTTTAAACCACTAATTTACTTTGAACTTTGTCTTTTTTTAAACAACCACATGCATATGCAGTGTTTACGAGAATTGAGTTACAAACATGCAGCCTCAGCAAGCGAAGCGAACATGAATGCAGTGTCTGTTTTGGGATGACAAGTCGATCAGGTCTTAAAATTCTCACACATTATGAGGATCCGTAAAATTATGCTTGTGTAAATCATCATCTTAGACGACTTCCACCAGCTCCTTTGCTGTATTCGTCTCAACCGTTTCATGGACAATCCTTCCAAACATGAATCCATACATAGCTTTTCCATATTCATTAATAAAGCCCACTTTAGAACAAGACGTACCGCTTTTTCGCATTACGATACAGGCCTGTGGGCTGTTTGTAAGTTAAGGATTATTCGCACACACCCCCTGTCGGCCTCTCTCTGGAACCTCAAGCCTCTTTTTTGAACCTGTTTTCTTTGTCTCGTCTTGTCTAAACTCCATGACGATTAATACCACTCAACGTAATGCTGACATTATGCTGTCCAACTAGGGGCTGAGCTGCAGCGTTACAGAACAAGTAGCATATGATCTATTCCTGACTTCTCTCGACTTGTTATTGCCAGCTTCAGACGAGTACATAAAACGGAACACGCAAGCCCTCCGAGCGCTCGGCCCGTGGATACGATGCGATGCTGATGCTGTATCATCGGAGTCGGCATATTGTAGAATGGAGACCGACGGACACCGCGACTTCCATAAACACGATACGATGCGATACGATATGGCTGCATCATGATTTCCCTATACCGTCATCGTCATGTTGAAGAACAATGCTCCACTAAAACTAAAAGCAACTCGACGCACCTACCACCTCTACCGGAGCGTTTCAAATGCGATCCATCATCAACGTATGATATCCATAGCCTTAACAGGTTAGTAGGTCACTTGCCTTGTAGAGCAAAAGCTCCACCACAAAAAGATAAACCGACTAGACCACAGTCAGACCAACACCGCCCGCTTACTATAGGTACCCAGGCATTCTATCCATACAACAGGAGTATTATATCACTTAAATCAAGGCCTTTTGATACTTGCTCAATTAAAAATCAAAACTTGGCAGTCACCAAACTGTTGTTTATCCGTGCGTCCAGCCACACGCGTGCTCGCCATGTCCACGAAGCCTCGCTAGCCAATTACGCGCACATGAACTAAACAGTCTTTGAGCCTCCCCTCTCGTTGAGTGCGCTAGTCAACCTACGCTGCCAGTTATCTAGGGCTTATGTCAACATGAACATCAACGAAGACAAACAAACTCTCACAACCGACATATACCACCGAGAGTTTAGAAATCCTAACGTGCATTGCATGCATACGAGGTCTCTTCCCAACCCCTCACAAGCTTGCGTGTAAGGTGAGATCTAAATGTTCGACAAGCTGGGTCATCTTCGAGTCCTTGCTACAAGCTTCCTATAGATAACATTGACCGCTATTGAAGGTAGATCGTAGTATATAATTACTTGGTCGCACCTTTCCCATATTGGCAGTCTAATTAATGGGAGTTAGCCTCATTATCATCCTCTTCATCACTCCTAACCTCTGAACTTCGTTGGAGCAATATACTCCGGATGACGTTACATGAAATGAGACTTTTGAGTGTGGGGAAATGCCACGGCTCAAGGTCAAGCCTAAAGTTTTGATCGGTTCCATTCATCGGCCGACAAGTCAAGCGGAGATTGGCAGGGTCTCATCCTTGGTATTCGACATGGGTTCATCAAACATCCAAGATAGCAAGCGAGGTTTGTCTGATTATGGGCTTTTGCTTCCAACTCGTGTTGAGTTTCGTCCATGTTCTCCAACCATGGATACTCGATGGCATGTTGGCAGATTGGAGTCAACACAAAACGCAATTATCACATCATCTAATCAAGTTATAGCGCATGATGTTACGAGACGAACTCACTTGGGATGGCAATCGCGAACTCGTACCATTGAATTCTCCGGGATCGACATGAGAGTTCATCCACACATCCATACCTATGTTAGGTAGGTATGTCATTGGCTCACCTTTTGAGATGTCCACCACCCCACAACGTGATCTTCGTATTGGCAAAATCTCAAATGTTTTTCACATGCGTACCCAACCTCTTCACTTAACAATGCCTGCAGTCACATTCTCCCCTCATAACAAAGGCAGGATCCAGAGCAGTTCTGTGTTGCCAATGGCTCTTACCGAAGCCAATCCACAGCCCTTCAATAATGGAAGGTGCTGGGCCCTTGCCTCATCAAAGGTACCTGGTCAATCTGGGCACCGAAACTCCTCCTAACTGCGATAAAACCTTGCACTTTGCTAAGCACCTGTATTTGGACGGACGACAATAACATCTAATAAATTTGGGCGAATGGGTTAGTGGTATAATACTCCCTTAGCATGATTTGGCTGTTCGACAGATGGTCTGGGAGTGGTCCAGGGTTCGTTCGATTCCCTGTTCGTCCATCAGTAATACCTAGTCAGATTCTTCTGCACACAGCCTTTTTGCTTTTTGAACACTTTATTTGCTTTCGGAAATCTAAGCGAATAGCGCGCCGGAGCGGTGACGCATGCTGTATAGTTGTAATGTGTGCCAAACTTGGACGACTTATGAGATAGTTGTTGAACATTGATATTGCTTTCACTGTGTGCCATACGTGAGTGTATAGTCACCAAAGGTAGACCATTAGCGGAATGAATTTATTAAAAGAACAAGCTTGAGAACTTACTGTAAACTCGAAGCTGTAAATCTTTTCTCATTCACCAATCACCATGGTACACCCACTTCCACCAACGATAACCTCGTGAATTCTTCCTGCATCGACATCAACACGTGACCCAATACCATACATCTGCTTCTGACTGTCCACTTCGTGGGGATACCAGAGAGTTATTGAGCCTTCAATGATTAAATGAGTCCTAAAAGTGGCGTGCGAGTGTGGTCGATAGTGAGTATTTCTACAACCAGACGTCAGAGAGAATAACCGGCACCCTGAGATTCCGCAAGAGCCACATTTGCAACGAAAGTCATAACAGTAAAGACAGCAAGGTAACTTACGGCGAATCGCTCCAGGTGAAAACTCGCTCGAAACCCCATGCGCGTACTTGTTCCTCGTATTCGTTGCTGAAGCTCATGATGCCGAAGTTGTAATGATAGGTGTATATAAGCTTAAGTCTCACAAGTTTGATCAATAGAGTCTAGTTTACATGCGGCTTGCAAAGCGCGATCCCTATTCTTGCAAAGGTATTGTTAAGTTCCTGCCCGTAGTTGTAGAGGGCTTTCCCAGTTGCTGGTGAATAGATAATATACGGTAGGTAGTGAGTGACGCTGACATTGAAGTGGTCAAGCTATGACCTCACAGCCCTTAGTCGCTGATGCATCGGCCGACTGCGCCCCACCCGGCCCCGCCCGCACCGTCCCGGGGCTGGAGCCGTTCAACGGGACTTGGCCTGGGCATTGGATCTCAATGCTTGAACTCAAGTTCCAAATGTTTTTGCCTGGTGCTGATAGAGTATAGATAATATCAATGCATACCTTGAAAAAAAAATTAGCAAACTTGCGTAAAATGTCTTGTAATGTGAAAAAAAGCAGGGCTCATCATTAATGCAGCACAGCACAGAATTACATATACACAGCACAGCACGGCACAGCCTCATTTCATCCTGCCTTTGCTCTCGTTTCCAAGCAGTCATCCTCATTATTTGGGGGACACAGGAGCAGTGGCCCATGATACTTTTCGATTGTCCTGCTTCCTCCAGACAGACAACTACGGTCTTTCCAATCATCTCTTCCCACCCAAGCCTCCACGGCCCAGTCTTTCACAGCCCTGGAACTCGGTATCCATTCTCATTCAGCCGTCTCCCTGCTCGATCCATCCCCTAGGGCTGTGCTGCAGGACGCTAGTGGGACCCAGACTCGCCTACTAGATTGGCTATTGAACCGGGGAGACCGCCTTAATTTATCGCCTATCAGACGGGCGTGCTGACATCTAGTCCATCCATTTTGTGCTTTTCTTCCCCTTCTTTCAAACTCGTCTTACTCGACAACGCTCAATTCAAGGAGCTCTGATCTTGAGAGCGTATTCAAAATTGCTCATTCTCCATTGCGAAGCGAAAGTCTCCGGATTCGCCATTTCCCCATGTTTGGCTAGATCGACGGGTAACCTTTCGTTCCAATGGTCTCTGCCATATAATCGTCGCCGACATCGCCAGCTTCAAAGCCCAACTCGCCCCTGGGAACTTTAGCTCGTCACCATGTCGCTCTTCTGTGGCCTCATAGTTAGTCATTTCAGCATCGCTATTCTCCTGATCGCGACCACTAACATTAGAGTCCAGCGGCGCCGTAGCGCAAAGGGAGACAAACCCCGTCGAGCGCGCACCATGTCCATCTTTGGCAATTCCAATCTCCAAGCTATCGGCGCTCTCAAGGGGATGGTCCGCTTCACCACCGCCGCATCTCCAGCTCCCATGTATGGCTGGGAGCAACCCACAGCACAAAAACCACCGCCGACCGACGAATGCTCTAGCCGGAGTTCTGATCAGCAAGCCCCAATTTCCGATATACCGGACATTCATATTACTACTGAGATGCACGAGGCCCTCGATCGTACATACCATGACCTGCGAGGCTCAGAAACGCAATTATCTAGAGCCAAGTTCGCTGAATTCTTGCGAAATGTCCAGGGCGAGAGTGAGAGCGCCGTCAACGAACTAGCTAAGGAGAATTATTCCTTGGGCGATTTCAAGTACACCTGGGTTACCGACTTCTCATGGGAGGCCATCAAGCCCTTGCCTGAAAAGGATCTCTCGAAACCTATCACAAATTACTTCATAAGCAGCAGTCACAACACCTACTTGGTTGGGAACCAACTGGCTTCACTGAGCAGAAGCTCTCCAGAAGCATACAGAACAGTATGTTTATGCAACAGAAACCCATATGCCCTTGCAATTATGCCTTAAGCTAACATTGGTTGCCAACAGGTACTTCTTCGGGGATGCCGCTGTATCGAGATTGACGTATGGAATGGAGATACCATTATTCCCACAACAAGAGACAGATCCACCAAGGTCGACCACAAACGCGGTCTCTCAGGCGAATCGTTTCCCAATGTTGCTACGACTGTGATTGAGAAAGTGGAAGGCTACCTTAGTGACAAAACTACTAATCGCTCCCGCAGTACCAGCCTAGGAAGCCGGAATTCTTCCCCAAGATCGAGTCTAAATCGAGTTCCGTTCGAAACCCGAGAATCTGGCGATCGTCTTGACGTTGTTAAAAATCCTTCACCACGGACAAGACCGTCCTTTCCGAAAGACGAGCCCATTGTGACCCATGGATGGACCCTAACGGCACCGTGTGGGTTTCGAGAGGTGTGCAGAGCCGTTGGTGAATCTGCATTCGTTGATAACGACCTTCCCATCATTGTCAGCTTAGAGGTACATGCCGATGAGGACCAGCAAGAGGTCATGGTCAAAATCATGAAGGAAGAATGGGGTGAGATGCTCGTGGATAAACCTTTCGATGATACTGGCCCGAGATTGCAACTCCCAAAGCTGGGTGAGTTGCGGAGGAGGATACTCGTCAAGGTCAAGAAAGCTCCCGCCAAGATCGTCGTGCCACCTAGTACTATGGATCTTCCTGCTATTTACGCACAGGACGAGGATGCATCAGGGTCTGAGGATGAGCATCCCTCGCAATCCACAGGACCATCCCTGACAGGATCGAACCGTACATTTCCTTCACATGAGAAGAGCTCAAGCTCCAAGGTCAGGATCTGTGAGAACCTTGGCAAACTGGCCATCTACACACGCAGTCAGCACTACAAGGGCCTTGCGACTAAGGAGGCTAAAATTCCTGCACATATCTTTTCTATCAGCGAGAATCGTATTCTAGAGCTTCACCAGAAGCAGCACCGCGACATGTTTACCCATAATAAGGGATATTTCATGCGCGCCTTTCCCGCAGGTCGAAGGTTCGACAGCTCGAATCCAGATCCAAGTCTCTTCTGGCGTGGCGGTGTTCAGATGGTCGCTATGAACTGGCAGTATCTAGATGAAGGCATGATGCTGAACGAAGGCATGTTTGCAGATGAAAAGGGCTGGGTCTTGAAACCCGAGGGCTATCAGAGTTCGAACAAGTCTGCAGAGACCCAGGGCGAGGCAACACCAGGTCGTACCATGAACCTGAGAATAATAGTTTTTGCTGGCCAACATATTCCGGTCCAAGCAAGAGGATCTCTATCGGAGCAGATCTCGTGTTCGTGTTGCGATAGCTGCCCGTTTTATGGAAGATTCCATTCACACATTATACAACACTTCATATAATCAGCTTCAAGGTAAACCGAGAAATGTTCTGCGATCCAAGCCCATTCAGTTCTAGCAATCAATATATCAATGAAATTTTGTCGATGAATTCGTACTGAAAGTGATAAAAGATGCTAAAATTCGAGTTCCAAGATCTGGGGTCTATCGATAAGATTCTAATTTCCAATCAAGGCTAGCGCCGCCGAACTTCACCATCAGAAGCTCCTCCACCAAATCCATGCCACCTCACCTTTAGCCTCCATCTAGACACTTACAGACAACCACGCGGTATACAACCACTCACAATGGTCGCCGCGCCAGACCCTCTCTCATCCTCCATGGCGGGCCTTGGTGTGTCATTCACATTCTCCGGTTCCGACACTTCCTCCGTTGATGATGATGCTCCTCTACCATTTCCCGAAGCTCTCCCTCGCGCCGACTTCTTAGCCAAAGACTTCCAACCTGCCGCCTATTTATCTGCTTTACCACATCGTCACCAAACTCTCGAGGACTTGCGATCAGATCTTCGCGATCGAAGTGCTGCGATCAGCTCTGAACTTCTTGAACTCGTCAATTCCAATTACACAGCATTTCTTTCCCTTGGTAGCGAACTGCGCGGCGGCGATGACAAGGTTGAGGATGTCAAAGTTTCTCTCCTAGGTTTCCGACGAGCCGTTGAGGAGGTCAAGACAAAAGTTACGGAGCGAAAGGAGGAAACAAATGCTCTCAATGGAGAACTACGTGGCGTGCGGGCCGCTATCGAGAAGGGTCGCAAGATGATTGAGCTTTCTGAGCGTCTCACATCCTTAGAAGAACGCCTCTCCTTGGACAGCTTACCAAACAACGAAGACTGGGACGAAGAGAGTGAAGACGAAGATGAGGACGACAACTACGGAAGCTCACCAACAAGGTTGCTTGTTTCAGCACAAGAATGCAGCCGCATCACAAAGATGCTCGAGTCTCTAGATCCAAATGCCCCGTTTATTATCAAGATGGAGGAACGCTTGACACGCTGCAGAAACACATTACTGCTAGACTTGGGTAATGCTCTCAAAGAAGCAAAGAAGGCTGGTGTAAAAGGACAGGATAGAGTTCTCAAATGTTTGGCGATATATAGAGTGCTAAATGCACAATCAGAGGCCGTCAAGGCCCTCAGAGGCAGTTCA